GGGGGGGGGGGAGGGGGGGGGGGGGGGGGGAGGGGGGGGGGGGGGGGGGGGGGAAGGTGAACTCGGGGGTGGGGGGGGGGGAGGGGGGGGGGGGGGGGGGGAGGGGGGGGGGGGGGGGGAAGGTGAACTCGGGGGTGGGGGGGGGGGAGGGGGGGGGGGGGGGGGAAGGTGAACTCGGGGGTGGGGGGGGGGGAGGGGGGGGGGGGGGGGGAAGGTGAACTCGGGGGTGGGGGGGGGGGAGGGGGGGGGGGGGGGGGAGGGGGGGGGGGGGGGGGGGGGAGGGGGGGGGGGGGGGGGGAAGGTGAACTCGGGGGTGGGGGGGGGGGAGGGGGGGGGGGGGGGGGGAAGGTGAACTCGGGGGTGGGGGGGGGGGAGGGGGGGGGGGGGGGGGGAGGGGGGGGGGGGGGGGGGGGGGGGGGGGGGGAAGGTGATAGAAATGAGGTTCTATTTCCAACCTGATAATCAAAACAACAACTCTGAAACAAAACTTTATGTTCTAATTTCAATTATGAAAACACACCTTTCCATACTTTTGGCTTCTAGCTTGGAGGTGTAGACTCCCATCATGCTGGAAACCACGGACTTCAGCCTGAAGATGGACAATTTCGCTTGGATTACCATACTTGCAGAAAATAAAATAAAATAAAAGGAGTAAGGACAGACGAGACATAATTGCATTCATCATAATCCACTGATGCATGCCACACCTAAAATGGTCCCTTCAAGAATTTGATAAATAGTCAAAGGAACTGGGGAGCTTACACAGATGACATCATTCTCCACAAATATGCTTCGCATATTGAGTTCATCAACTGCTGTTCGCCGCCTCTGGAATTATAGAATAAGAGGAAGTAGTTAGTTTTAGTATGACTATGACTATGACTATTAGTAAGACCTAAAAGAATGCAACATAATGCCAGAAATCCAGGGAAACAAAAAGGAAAAGGAAGTGTATATTTGCTTCAGGGGACAAACTTCGAAAGTTGCATCTGCTCTACAGCTCGAGCCACAAGTCAAGATCCAACTTCTATAGACATGTCACCCTTCTAACTCTTTAGTTTCAATACCTTGGGAACTTCAGATCTCTTTAACACAAGCTTCAGGCTGTGGGCTTATTTATTGAACAATAATAAAAGTTATACTAGCCTGATAAATTCACTGTACTGTTATTATAAATTTAGAGAATGGAATTGGGGAGAAACTTGTTGCCCATGAAGATCTAATTATTTGAATGTTGAGACGTGGCAGTGTTCTTTAAAATATGAGATTCTGCATAGAGTTAAAAGCTGGACAAAGTTTATCCTATTCTGGAAGGCAGAAGTGAATCCTTTACAACCACAGGTCCACAACAAATGTGCCTCAATCCCAAACAAGTTGGGGTAGGCCATATGAATCCATGCTATCTTGGACTTATAGATCCATTGGGCTATTCTATTCATGTTACCAAAGGAAGTTAAAGAGATGACTTCTTCAAAGTGGACCAAAGTTGGTTCCTGCTGCTAAAGTGAAATAGACTAGGGTCTTTAAGCCTCACAGGGGGAGGGGGTTGAAACTGAAGAATTTGGAAAAATGATATAAAACAGCCATAGGAAAATCTTTTCAGCTCTTTTTTCTCTAGGATTTCAATATGCAGGGTCAAGTGGGTACATAGGGTGGAATAGAATAAAGGAGGTCCTGATTTCAGTGCTCAACAGATTCCTTATAAATGTTTCTTTACATGCAGAAAAGATGCAATAAGGACTCCAAATTACACAATCTTGACTAGTGAATTATCCAGCAAATAGAACCATCACATCATGGGACCAAAATCAATTCAGAGATCATGCTCAAATGGGCTTAGTGATATTGTAAGCAATAACCTGAATGCCATCTGGAAGATTCATTGAGGAGAGCATTAGTACAGCGTCTTGGCTGAAATTAATTTCCAACCTCCATCTCTTTGGAGCAACCTTAACATCAAGAATATTAATAATCATTAGATATATATCTAACCGCAAGAAATCATTAATATTTCTTTCCAAAGTAAATGAAGACAAGTAAAAATGAGGACACATGTGTTCTTTTCCTTTATGTTCTCTTAGTGCCCTTTCATTGAAATTCAGCACCAAAGGCATGCACTATTTAGATTATCCATTTATTAAATTATTAATGTGAAGGCTTATATATTTCTCTAACAAACGGTAGACTGAAAAAACCCACCGCTATTATGATCATACTAGGGAAACCTGAAGAGCAACAGAAATAATTTAACTATCTATCCTATTCCTTACAAATACCTGGGGATACATTAGGAGAGGCTTGCATTTTGCTAAGTGAACTGTGAACAAAGAACTCCCGGGGTTCGGCAGGGTAAGGAGAGAATAGTATATTGAAAAGAAGTTGTTCCAAGCCTTGAACTCATGACCTACCAGTCACCAAAAAGAGCAACTTTACCATTGCAACAGGTCTCGACTCTCTTCTTAATTGGGGTTTCTAACTACTACAGTACTACCCAAAAATACCGATTCAATCAACTAGAAACAAATTGTCATAAGACTAGCAGCAAACTTCTAATTAAAATCACTTAAACATAAAAGGAGCATAGATTACCCAAATTTTCAATAACCTTGGAAGAAACTGACATAAGAGCCAGCAGCAAATAAAACACCTAAACATGAAAGGAGCAAACTTGACAAGAAACTCATTGCAGGGAACCAGAGACGCACCTCAATAACACGGCCGACTATAATATCACCAATCTCCGGCTTATACCTACATTAAAAAAAAAAAACCTTTTTTCACATTAAAATCAAGCTTAAAAAACTAACTAATCAGCAAAATTCAAACTAAAAACACTAAACCTGGCCCTTAAAGGTCTAACATAAACAAGCTTATTCACTCGCTCAACCACTCCACATACACTTGCAACAACATCATTGCCCATCTCCAACGTCCCATGTCCTCTTCATTCAACAAACAAAAATGGGTCAGATACCAAAAATCGGGAAAATGAAATGAACACCCATTTTCTTAATTTGAACAAAAAGGGGTTGTAAAGTAGATACAGATGATTCATATAGCAGAACCCCAACTACTTACTTGAGGGCAGCATCTTCGTCGACTGGAATTTTGTCTGCAACAATGACAGTGGCATTGGAATTAAGCTTTGAAGAAAGGGATTCCAATTGCGCTAATGCTTTTTCTAATCTTAGCTTTTGGGTGTTGCTGAAAGATAACTGTATGCCTCTCATTTTTCCTGATTTTGTGAAGAGAAGGAAGAAGAAGAACTACTGGTGCAGAAGAAACCCTAAAACCTCTTAAACCCTGTTTGCCAAGCTTGGACTATGAAATTAGCAAAAAGATTTTTTAATTTTTTTTTTAAGGAGTTAAGTTATTTTACATTTTTTGGAGCAAAAGTACAAAATTTATATTTTCCAAAGTTTTTTTCTTAAGAATGGAAGGATTTTATTTATTTAATAATAAGGTTCATTCATACTCTTACGTTATAATTCCAGAGCAGTTGTTATAAAAGAAGGAGATGCTTCATAAACAAAAGGTTAGCTATTGTTCGTATTTTTTATTTCTACTACATTAGCCTCCCTTGGTATGTGCTTCAGTGATGATTCTTCTGTGTAGGAGTAATGATTTACGATCAACATAAATATATAGATGTGAGTAGATGCGATTATTGCTACTTAAAATGTTGAGTAATATCTAAAAGTCAATTTCTATCAACAATTGTTTAATATTATTTCTTTGAGCTTGGCTCAGACCATGAAGCAAAGCTAATAATTCTGCATGATAGGCGTTTTCAACTTTTACTTTGCATGCAAAACCTGGAATTTATATATTTCCCAAGTTATCTCAATACAAAAATCTCATAACATGTCTTTATTTTGTAATTTTATTTTCCATATTAATTAAATGAAAATTGAAAAACTTTATAAAAATTTAGCATAGTAATAAATATTTTAGATTATTTATTTATTAAAATAATAGTAATCACAAATTGGTTCAAATATCACTATTAAGGGTGTTCATAATTTGGAAAAAAATCAATTCAAACTTTTAAAAAATCAAATCAACCTGATTTTATTTGTGATTGATTTGATTTTACATTTTTAAAAATTGATAATATTTAATTTAATTTTGTTTTTCTTCCAAAATATAGAAAAAATAATCAAATTGAACCGACAAATTATATACCTACTATTTATAACTTTATATACATAACTATATAGTTTAGATTTTAGTGCATAAACATTCATATTTTATCACTCTAGCAATTGCTCATGAGTCCTGAATATGGAAATGTTCTAACTATTTTAATTTTTAAGTTTCCATGAGTAATTTACACCAATGCACTTTTTATTTATTTGCACTACTTTATAATCCGGTTTGGATATGATAATTGCAAACAATTGTGGTTCGATTAAAATTCTGATTTGTTTCATAATTTAAAATTATAAATCAAATACCAAATGTCCATTATATTCCTAATAAGGGTGTTCAAATCGTTCCATAATCGATAAGTCAACCGCAAAATTAGCTTATTAGTATTGAGTTATTGAATAAACATTTGGTTAATGGATTAGAATTTTATAATCAACGGATTATTGGTGTGGAGGCAGATTATTCAATTTCCTTTTCGGTTCATATATCAACTATTATATTACTATTAATCTATATCTTTTAGCAAATTTTATAATTTAGCTGCATTGAAAATAGTGAATAGAACTCCTTGTTCATGAAAAAAAAAGAAGGTAAAGATTAGCTGATACATCGTGTGATAATTGTTTGATAACTGCTAATCCGTTATTTAACCAACCGATAACCTGGATGACACAAAAAAAAATATAAGGGTCCTTAGAATAATCCTCCATAAGTTGTTGTGTCCCTCACAATTATACCTAACATTTTTATCCTTCCATTTTCTTTTATGAATCAATGATTTGTAACCTCTCTTAACCAGCCTCTAATGGCTGCTTCTCTTTCCTTTCTCCTAAACTTAACATTAATATTATTACTATATCAAATGCAAAGAGCTGGATGGCCTTTTGGAGCCTTTCTTCTTCTCTTCCTCTCCTTGGCCTCCTGTCTCTCTTGCTTTCCCATCAAACCTCCTTGATCACAACCACTAACACCAACAATGTTAACATTCAGGTGTCAGATGGACGGGTTGGGTCAAACTCTTCTGTATTCCGTGAGGCCCCTGCATTTCGCAATGGGGAGACTTGTGGTAATAATTTGGTCACGGATCGAATTCATGTGGCCATGACACTTGATGCTAATTATTTAAGAGGTACTATGGCTGCAGTGTTATCGATACTCCAACATTCAACGTGCCCTGAAGATGTCACATTTCATTTCCTATGGGTAAGACATGAACATGAGGTGTTTTCGAGTATTAAGGCAACATTTCCTTACCTTAATTTTAAGGTGTATCGATTTGATGTCCATAGGGTACGTGGCTTAATTTCTAAGTCTATACGTCAAGCTTTAGATCAACCTTTGAATTATGCAAGGATTTATTTGGCTAATTTGATACCTAATGAGGTGAAACGCGTTATTTATCTTGATTCTGACCTTGTCATGGTTGATGACATCGCGAAGTTATGGAAGGTTGATTTAGGTGACAAGGTTTTGGCTGCACCCGAATATTGTCAAGCAAATTTCACCGTTTACTTTACTGAAGCGTTTTGGTCTGATCCATACATGCCAAGAACATTTGAAGGGCGAAAACCGTGTTATTTCAACACAGGGGTGTTGGTAATGGATGTTGATAAATGGAGACATGGAAATTATACCAAAAAAGTAGAGGATTGGATGGTTCTTCAAAAGCAAAAGAGGATATATCAATTAGGGTCATTGCCTCCATTTTTGCTTGTTTTAGCAGGAAATATAATGCCAATTGATCATAGATGGAATCAACATGGATTAGGTGGTGATAACGTTGAAGGTAAATGTAGGGAATTGCATCCTGGACCAATTAGCCTTCTACATTGGAGTGGCAAAGGCAAGCCATGGTTGAGATTGGATTCAAGAAAACCGTGTAGCGTTGATCATCTATGGGCTCCCTATGATCTTTACCGTTCCTCTAGACATTCATTCGAGGAGTAACATGTCACAAATGACTGATCCAGGATACATAGATATCTAATGAATTTCTTAATATAAAAAAAAAAAACATATGAGCAAAAGCTACTGAGTTCACGTGGACCCACATGTTATCCTGTAGATCCGGTCAATCCATGGCACAAATGCTGAAACATTTATATGTAAGGTTTGAGGGAAGCATGTTTTGCATTAGGAAGAGAAGCAAGCATCAAATAAGAAAAGCAAAAAAAAAAAAATTAAAAAAAATTGTCAAAGTGAGAACATAAATAGATACTTCATAGTTTATTTTTGTTAGTTTCTAACACATGATCATTTTATGTTTGGATTTTATGTATTATAAAGAAAGATGGTTATAAGCAAAGAATCACAATGATTAATTCCTCTTATATACTATACTATAGTTTGTTTTTGTTAGCTTCCAAGTTCCAACACATGAATATATAATTACAGTATCTATAATTAGCTTTACTATATTTTAAATTTGATTAAGATGGCTAGTGTTGTCATACTCTGTTAACTCTGTTTCCTCCTTCATTTCTCTCCGGTTTGAGTGTTCATCGATCAGGTAGATCTATATATTAGATGAGACTTAACGCAACCACAAGACAAGTAAACTTTCGTATTCCTAGGGGATGTGCAGCCTTAGATTTTGAAAGTTAATTTCAACATAAAGATGAATCAACCAGCCAACGATGTTGTTGAAATATGTAAAGAAAAGATCGCTAAAATTTCAACAAATACTAAATCATGAACGCGTAATTATAAAGATGTAATGTATTTAGTAGTATAAATCCATCATGTTTAAATCTTGGATATAACTTCTGACGATAAAAGAAGTAGAAGACAACTATACGCAAGAAATAATTATAGTAGCTAAGTTTTCTTGACCGGATCATTATTGTAAGACTTGCGTAAAGCTTCCTTCTTACTCTTTATGAAGGCTTCCGTCTTCTCATTAATGTTGGAAGCCACGTTTATAAAATGTCTTCGTCTTGCTGGTGATGCTGGTGTTGGTGTTGGTGCTGACGGAATTTGCTTAGCTTCATTTCTTTTTTGAGTTGTTTCTTTGATGCTCACGATTTTCTTTGGTCCAACTATCTCCATGTGTCTGAACTCGATTTCTATATCACCATTCATATTTTTTATATCTTTTGGTGATTCAATAGGGATTTGATTGCCCATAGTCACCCAAATTGTGTTGATGATGAAGTTAAAGAGGCGATTACATATGCTTGATGATTGAGAATTATGAATTTGGCCTCTTTTGTCCATTGATTTTTATGTTGTTGATGGACTTATTGTTTGTGGTACTAGCAAGTAGTAGCATGTGTATATTATTAATATATGATGAACCAAAAAGTTGAAAACAAAATGATTCTATTCTTAGTGAGTTGGGCAACATTCACACCTTTTTTTTTTTGGTAGTGTGATTCTTTGCTCTATCTACCCAAAAGCATTTTATCCTATCCTTTATTTATCCATCTTCCTTGGATGGAAAATGTTTTTTCTTGAGGTGAATCTTTTTACTTATTTTTTTTTTTTGGTGTAGATTAAGTCAGTGAATACTTCCTCCCTCCCATATTAGTTGATCGTTATACTAAAAATAGTTGTTCCATATTAGTTGTTCATCTTACTAAATCAAGAAAATATTAATTAATTTTTTTCTATATTACCCTTCAAGTAATTCTTTTTGAAAATGTTTACATTTGTTTGTAAAATTTCAGGAAAAAGGTCTGAAAAATACTTTAACTTTGGCCGAAATTGTTGTTACGATACCAAACTTTATGAAGGTACCTTTTTTACCCCCCTGCACTATTTAATAGTGTATTTTAAAGGTATATATGTGCCCACGTGGACACATTACTATTTATAATGATGCAATATTTTATGATGTCCACGTGGACACATATATACCTTTAAAATACACTAATAAATAGTGCGAGGGGGGGTAAAAGGTCATTTCCAAAGTTTGGTATTGTTACAACAATTTCGATTAAAGTTCGAATATATTTAAGATATTTTTCCCTAAAATTTCCAAAAAAAAATTTACGGGATGAATTGGTAAAATTATCTTCCAACTAATATGGGACGAAGTGAGTATATTGTTTGAAGAACATTTCTATGTAACAATGATCTAGACAAGGATGGGGCACAACGTTGGGATTGGTCAAATAAAAGATATTTTTTCTGAGAAAGTATTTTTATTTAACCAATCAAATATGAGAAAATTAAAATTTTCATAAAATATTTTCTTTCATACTAAAATGATATAATTATATATAAAAAAATTATACCATTACTATGAATGCGAGGGTGAAATTGACTACAGATTCTGCCAAACTCAATATCTTTAATGTAAACTCTGTGTTTGTCAATCATAACTCAATAACTAAAAAGGACTAAAGTTTTGAATTCATACACTTGGAAATCTATCTAGATCCACCTTAGCGTTACTAGAAACTTAAAAGACAAATACACCTTTTTCTGAGCATAATTCACATTTCAATCTTCAAAAGATAAATGTGTCTCTGTTTAATGTCACTTTTACGTTATTGTATCTATTTGCATGTTTCTTCCAATCATGTACTCAGAATCTTGAATTTAAGCCGTATATTTCCCTATTTGTTGCACATAAGTTATTCTTCATTACTTGACCATTTCTTACGTAAGTTACACATACATCAATTTGTTGGTGTAACACACAATTGGTCACACATACAATGTTTCAGTAGTTACATAAGTTATTCTTCGTTATATCAATTGGATCTAGTTGGTCACACATGCAATTGACGTCTTCAGATATATATACATATATTCAATCTTTGTTTTGAAAACACGTATAGTTAAAATCAGATACTATATTCTCATGATTTCAATCAGGATTAGATATTAATGTGTGTGATCGATATAATATATTTATGATTATGTATTTTCGTACCATATATACAAGATATATTTATGTGTATCTAAAAACCCATCAGTGACTAGTGAGACTCTCTCAATAGAGACGCCAACAACTACTTGACGTACGCATATGACATACATACAATATATAGTTTTAGGTGTTCGTTCCCCTCAGCGCCCCCCGCCGCCATGCAGTGGCGGAGTTAAGAGGTGTTGACCGACACCCCTTCATCGGAAAATTACATTGTATAGCTAGAATAAAAATATATGTTTAATGTTTATATATTATATATTGACACTTCTTGGCTTCTACACGATTTTACTTCTTTATATTTTGACACTCCTAAGACAAAATTCTAGCTCCGCCACTGCCCCATGCATACACGAAACAAGTCAAACTTAAATTTTAGAGTGATTTCACCAACCAAGTGACTCAGCAATGCAAATACGAGAAGCACTAATCAAACCGAACGAAAGACAAAAAAAGTGCATTAGAATTTTCCGACGACTCTTTTTCACCCATGTGGGAGAGAAGTAAGGAAGAGAGAGAATGTTTATGTAGGACATGCAGTGCGAGATTGATGAGAGAGAAAGAGAGTTGATTGAAACGAAAACGTTAATTAGGGATGCTTCAAGTGTGCATGTAACCAATCTTGACTATTTTTTTAGGGATATGTGTATCTGAATGTCTCTCACTAAATATTAAATCCAAAATGTTGAAGTTGTTGTAACATACCTAATTATTTAAAAAATATATAGGTATAATTTAGTATATGGAAAATTGTATATAAGAGCAAACTATTAATTTAAATTAAATGATATAACCATAGTTTGATTTAATTGTACCCCATAACAAACTGTTACTATTTCGCCTCTCTTCGTGGTGAATCTCGCTCGCCACTCTCGTTCTCGCTGGGCAGTCTCCCTCGCCTCTCTCACTTTTATACAAACGCAAATGTATAAAATGTGTTTTGTGTTTGTGTTTGTATAAAGGAAGAGAAAATTGTATATATACATATATTTTCGTTCCCCTCTCCCAGATCTCGCTCGTCACTCTCACTTTATACAAACACAAATATATAAAGTGAGAGAAAATTGTATATACAAATACAAATGCACATATTTTCGTCCTATACACTTATGATTATACAAATATGATCTTTCCCTGCCCAGTTTTCTTTTGTCTTTCTCTCTCTCGCTTTATACAAACACAAAATTATACAATTGATCTTTTGTATATGTATACTGAAACAAATTATACAATTGCTTTCTTTTGTATATGTATAGCGAAATATACATATTTATGTTTGCTATGGAGCGCAATTATGCAAACTATAACTATAACATACAAATATAATTTTTATATTTGCTATATGTGAAAGTTGCTATTTTTTCTTAAATTTTCCCTTAAACAACACATTTTAGGCCCAACATTGTAAAAACAGTCCAGTATATGACAAAGAGTGAGTCCAAAGCAAAACAAAGGCCCACCAATGAAGTCTTTCTCTGAGAATGGGAACTGCCAACTGGCAACAACATCGTCTTCAAGATTGACACTTTGACAGAACCGAATAATCACAACACTCAAATCGATTCTTCATTCCACTGCTTCACTAATTTATGGATTTCTTCAAATCCATCTTATCAGATGATCCGGAACCGGACCCTCCACTACCCAAAAAGCCCCAAGATTCTTCACCGGAACAATCACCTGAAAAGGAAGTTGACCCGGATCAGAATCTTGAAAAACCCAATTCACGATCTGATTCAACCGCCGACGACGGCGGTGATGGTGGTGTTTGGAGTTTCGGAGGTTTGTTGAAGACATTATCAACCCGATCGGAATCAGTACTCGAGACATACCGTCGGGATCTACAGGAATTCGGATCCGGGTTGAAGAAAGAAACCGAATTGTTCCGTGAAGTAGCTAGTCGGGCTGTTAAGGATCTTCCTAACTCGATCGAGGTCGGAACTACAGTCAGCCACGCAATTGACGGCGTTATCAAATCGACAACTGAGATTATATCACAAGGTAAAGATACTCTACTCGCTTCCTCTGATGCTGAACCCGAAACCCCAGATGCGAATCGGACCTTGAATTCGGGTCGGTACAGTCGGTTTGAATCGCAATTGATGAATATCCAAAGTGACCCGAATACGTTCTGTATGGATCCTGAGGATTTGGAGGAGTATAAGAAATGGAAATCTGAGTTTGAGTTGAAAGAGAAGAGTAAGGAAGTTGAGATTTTGATTGAAGAAAATGAATCTTTGGAAGGTATATACAAAAGGGTTGTGCCTAATGAAGTTGATAATGAGACATTTTGGTGTCGTTATTTTTATAAAGTGTATAAGCTTAAGCAACAAGAGAGTGTAAGAGCTAATCTTGTGAAGAGAGCAATAGCTATAGACGATGAAGAAGAATTGTCTTGGGATGTCGATGATGAAGACGATAATGAACAAGAGAGCATTGCCAAATCGAAAGTCGATGAAAAGGGAAAAGAGGGATCTGTTGTTGAAAGCTCTGTCAATGATGTAAAGAAAGAACCTGCCACTCAAGATTCGACCAACGTTGCAAATGAAGTGCCTGCTAATAAAAGTGAACCAAGCAAGCAGGATTCGACCAACGTTGCAAAGGAAGTGCCTACCAATAAAAGTGAACCAATCAAGCAAGATTCGACCAACGTTGATAAAAGTGAACCAAGCAAGCAGGATTCAACAAATGTTGTAAAACAGGCCACTCATAGTGATGAATCACAAACTATAAGTTCAGCTGCTGTTGATAGAAAAGAAGAGAATCAGTCTAATGTAGATGGTGGTGGCAAGAGCAAGGTCGTAGAATCAGTTGAAAATAACAAAGATAGTAAGAAAGAAGACACTGAAGTTACTCCTCTGGTTAAAAAGGAGGAAGGGGTAGTAAAAGGTTCAGAGGGGAAAACTGATAAGGATGGATCAGGCAAAGATGGTGATGTCTCTATTGCTTCAAGTCAAAAGACTGGGGCCGATGAGGACGACTTGGATTGGGATGAGATTGAGGACGTTGACGGTATTGATGACAAAAAGGCAACTTCTCATGTTGCAAGCTCTAATAGAGATGATTTGAGGAAGAGGCTTAGTGTTGAAGAGGACGATGAGGATTTGAGTTGGGATTGAAGATGATGATGAGCCTGTGAAAGCTTTTAGATTGTGAATCAAGCTTAAGATATGCAGAAATCTTGGATGTCAAAGCAGTTAGCATACCAACAGAACTCAAGAACTAAACTTTAAAGCTTGAAACATAGTAAAGTAAGATAATGTTTATTGCCTCAGGCAGTTTGTTTGATTGTGCTTCATGATTTTCATTCTTTATATTGAACTTTTAGTTTAGTAGTTGCGATTTCAATGTCTAGCAGTTCATTTATAATGTGAACATGTTTTTGTGCCTTTTGTATACTTGGGAAATTTGAATGAAAGCAATGATGCTCATAGACAAAATGCTATCCCATTGTTCTGTTGCATTTATGAACTCCTCCATGAAGTGTGTTCAGTTCTTTGGAATCATGTTATTAATGCTTACAATGTGGTATTTGTCCTGCTATCATGTTATCCCGTTGCGGTGCTTGATGTATACTCTTGTGCAAATTAAATGCTTTCTTAGTACGTTCCCTTAGGTCATTTCTCACATCATATCATAGCTTAATTTCTCGTTGGTCGACCAGTTTCAGCCACTTATATAAGCATAACAACAATAAAAGAAGGCAACTCTGCAGTCCGCAGAGAATGTTCATTTGGATAAAGCTTCTATTTGGAAGGAAGAAATGAAACGCGCCCCACCTTAATCAACATAGCTAGCTTCTTTCTTCGGAAATCAGTGTCTGAAGGTGCATCGAGTTGTTGTGTTTATCTGTAATAACAGAAAGTGGCATTAAAAAGGGAAAAGAAGGTAGGATGGTCGAGTATAAACTAGATACAAAAGGGAAGTGCAGTCCTTCATGTCTATTGACAAGACTGGGGACTCGAGAGGAAGTTTAGACCAAATTTTCACTTGGCATATACTGGAAGTGCCCTAAATACTGAGGCATTTTAAAGCAAAAACTGCATGCTGAGGGTGAATGGATCAATAAAGATGGAATTCGGTTCAGGAAACATGAAAACCAAATATAATAATTACCTAAAAAAAACGACTATTACTGGCCTTCAACATATGATCTGGGAAATGACAACTTAAAGACAAGTATTTTGTTCACATGGTAATGCAAGTTTTATAACTAGAAAACATAGTACCAAGGAGGCTGAATCAGTCAATAATACAGTTAGTTCGATTGTGCTAATTTCCGTTCTTCGTAAATTTTTTTAGTTTGAATCAAGATTGTTATGTCCAGTTCTTCATTTATAAAGTGAACATGTCTTTATAAAATTGGGATGTTGAGGCTGTATCAGTCAATAATGATGAATTCCAGATAACCACATAAACCAGACATAGTTAATACCTAAAATGATTCCCTACTGACCTTAAAAGAGATTGGTGTAAAAATGAAAACTTTAATACAAAATTCAGCCTGTTGTTTGGCTAATATACACTCCATTTACCTAAGCTCAGTAATCTCTAAAGCCTATCACATAGGTGAACAGGTATAGCAGCCAACGCCTAGTCTCTACGTAAATAAAAAAGAGAAGGAAAACCTTTGAAACACCATAAGAAAAAGAAAGCAAATTCATGCTCACTCATTGTACACAGTAGGAGAAAGCCCCTTCAGCTACAAAGGGTATTTAAAGACTTCAAACTGCAGAATCTATGGGGATTTGCCATCAAGATCCAAACTTGGTTCTGAAGCGGTCTCTGATTTAGGCGAGTCACCAGGGGGAGGTAGTGCAAGGAACCGTCCTCTTTGAGCACGCGGTGGAAGATGCTTTGCAGGTTTTCTGGATCCACCATTCCATGGCAGAAATACACCAGTACCACCACGAGGAGCCCTCCGGGGATTCATAACTACTGGACGCAGTGGTGCCAGCATAACCACCGGAGATCGAACAACACCCCCCCATTTGGGGATCATATCCATTGGCTCATAACCATTGTGTGCTCTATTTGCAGTTGCATATTGTGTTGGAACACCAGGTTGCCATATGGTCATGGCTCTAGTCAGAGGAGCAGCTTCTGAAAAGTTGTTTCCCATCTCTGTTCTGACTTTGAAGAACGTGATCGTAACTCTTTTGTTAGGAGACGAGCACATAGCATGTCTGGCCATATCAGCACTGTTTCCCCTCATGACCAAAAGAGACCTGCAAATATTAAACAACATGTAGCAAAACCAACCATAAGAACAGTCATTTGTTTTAGAGGGATGATCATCAAATGGAACTTCAACAAAAATTGAAGAAAAGATTTCATGTTATGGCTGAAACTCCGGCAAAGTCCATTCATCTCTAAAATAAGATTGTAATTACTGTGCCAATCTGGACTACAGAGCAAAAGCTTCATCAGTGTAAAGCCCCTACAATAAATGAAGTACATACCCCTCTTTTAGAGAAAGCATAAGCGAGCCTTTGTAGTTCCCTTCACTGTCGCATACAAGTGTTCGCCCAAATGCCATCATTGAGTCAGCTAGGACAAGGGTGGACACTGGCTGTTCCAAGTGAGGTGGTTTCAGGAAAGGCTGTGAATACTCCCCCTAAAATAGCAGCAGACAAGCATTTAGGCTTCATTTTTATACTGATAAAAATGTTGCAGGCCAACATAACTCTAGAATAAATGCAAATACCTCATCAAAAAAGTTGATGATGCAGCTATTAGGTCTTCTATTCTCTGATATTAGATGCCACTGAATCAGGTGGTTTATGACACCTTGCAGAAGGGCTGGAATGGGCTCATTGTGACCTGAAAGTTGGCATTTTTCCAAGTTATGATAGGTATGAAAGAATTAGAACTGGAGATTAAAGTTGAGGAGAATTGGGGGACAATGGTCAAATCTTGTAAAACAACAAATAGCAACAACAGGTGGTATGTTTTAAGACGCGTTTTTACTTACTCTTCTGACATGCGGCGTCCTCTTTTACATGCTCAAAAATTGGTGCACCAAGCTGAATTAGCTCTCTTTTGCTGCCCTTCACCTGCTGGTTGTACAGAATAAAAGTTTCACCTGAAACACAGTCACAGATCAATCAGGAACTTATCCAAGATCACACATTGGAGAAATAAATAGTAAATCAGATTTGACATTGCTGTGTCGCAAAACATGACAAGGCTACCAAAAAAGAAGTAGAAGAAGTTTAACTTTAGTTGATGTTTTTGGTGCTTGTTTGATTCATCAGATTATAAGCAAAAGGGAAGTTTGAGTGAAAACAAAGTCAGGCATCAACCTCAAGCACCAAGTCACAAACAATGATTTTAAGGCAGCTGCAATTAGTCATAAAGAAAAAACAAATGCTCAAACCTGCTCCAGCAAACCTACAGAAGGTGTCCTTTTACTATCTCATAACTTCGCCCCAAAAAGGAAACAACAATAACTATAAAAGCGTCACGAATCACAGGATCCACCTGAGAGTTCACCATTTTGACCAGCAACTCGAAGTTCATTCACAAGGTCATCTAATTTAGAGATTTCATTCGTAGTAAAAACGTCTTCGAATAACTTGAGACCTCTCACAACATTCACCTGCCAGCAACAATGTAGGGAAGTTTAAGATCTTGACAACATTCATATCCTACCAAAATGGATGTAAAATAACAAGGAAATGGAGGACTTACCATATGTCCTTTGACTGGTTCCTTTGATACAAAACCCTTTGTCATCTTCATCTGGTCATGCCTCGCCTCGCAGTTTTCATGGTTTGTGCAAAATTCATCAGAATCCAGGAAATGCTGTACTTCTTGAGATCCTATAAAATAAAAGTAAGCAATTAAAATATGTGTATTCTCTATCCACAATGATGCAAGTAAAATTCCACTAGCTAGTTAGTTGAAGTAACGGATCACTGTAACATGCTTGATCATATGTCTTGGCAATAACAAGAAACCTTGATGGTGCATTTTTGAAAGCAATTTCACTATGTCCATTGACAGTTTGATATGACCATCATTACTCATTATAAGTTAGTAGTGTTTTTGCAGACACAATCTTTAACAAAGTTGTTAAGTGTGTTAAACAAATATTTTCCTAAACGTATAAATCTCTGAAAGACCTAAGTACCTAACCACTCCTAGAACAGGACCAACAATGCAAGTGCTATTACATCTAAAACATATTGTCAACTAATAAGTATCATCTATAAACATATTACTCTGGTTATGAGTTAAATATTTTTCTTGTAGACTCAATATGAGCATTGGTGTTAAGAGTGTCAGTTCTGGCTGAATTTGGTAAATGGGCAAAATTACGTCCCTTACCAAAACAGAAAAGAAAAACTGAAAAAGACAATACTCTTTTACCATGGCTTAAAATGTAATCTATTTATCGTTGACCACGTTTATATTGATGGAAATGACACCATATATAACATTAAGCCACAGTAAAAGAACGGGGCAAAATCAACTAGTCCCCACATAATGATACCAAACAAGTGCTACAGTTCCAATTCCATTAGTGTTCACCTAACCACCATTAATAACACACGAAAAGATAGGGCCATGGGTGGAGCAACAATACGGTTTGTGAGTGCCAAACCCAGTAATGTTGATCCAAATCTTATATTTGTCTTTAAAACAATTTATCGAATCTGTATAAACTATTAATTTAGAATTCAATAACTTAAGGAATTATAATCAACTTCAAATTCTGACTCCACCTCTGATCAGTCATATGGTTGTAGTTTTTAAAAGTGAACTAGTAGATTGATAAATTGGTTAGCAACATGATCAAGTTATATAAGAGGAATCCCTAATCCCGTGTTGCTAATATTAATAAAGCATATTCGTTTTTAAAAGCATATACTAAGCAACAAAATCATTTTATAATATTAGTATATGTCTAATTTAAGACCAAAAAGATATAGAGGGGACAGAACTTTCCGGCGTTCCATTATAGCATTGCGACAAGAAAATGAAAGCAGCCAGCACTAACACTTGGAGAGGAAAGAGAGACAAGGCAGGTGGCCCACACTATAAACCTACCAAATGAATACGGAATACTACAACAAGTGCCTTGGCCCAAACCCCCAAAATTATTGGATCACACAAAAAGTGAACCAAAATTAAACAGTCCCCCCAAAGACAATTGGGTGATTTAAGATTTTTTTTCCTCGATACCTTTTTTTATTTATTTAAGTATTGATCTTACATCTATAAATAGAAAATATATTTTCACTAATAAGCCTGCAAATAGTAATAGTGGACCAGCTTTCGCACATGAAAATCACCATCTCGTAAATCTCAACCATTTTATTGATCATGTGTCTCTATATGATCTTTTCTTTAAATCAAGCCGAACTAAGACGCAACTTGGAATGGAAATAGCCCATCCCACTTGCATTATTCAATGAAAGCTCTTCAATCATTTGTTCTTTATTGAACAGCTGCTTAGTTAATAAATTAGGCCACCACATAAACTAAAATGATGAAAGTATTCTTTTATTATTTGTATCTAGAGTTCAATGGCCAACTTATAGCTAATATTATTTTCACAAAACGAACTTGAATTAATTCTAACCAACCTAATGAATTAGGTTAGTCAATTCCAGCCAAAACTTTAGCCAAACCCTAAAGCCAACAAAAACAGAGGTATGACGTTCGTCAAAACAGCACACGTTTGAGACCACAACTAAATAAAGTAAGAACAATTTAATGAGTCAATTCTATCTCTGATACCAACCTCGAGGCATCTATTTAATAGAGCCGTCTTCTTTTACCTAAATTTTTCTTCGTCCGTCTCAATTTATATGAAACACTTTTAAAAAAAATATCACATTTCTTCAATTGAAAATAATTTAACTTAAAATTTCTCTTTTTATTCGCTCAAATATTAGACCATAAATTTATATCAAGTCAAATAGTATAGCATACATTGGCAGGAAGGGTGTACTTTTTTTTGGTACAGTGAAACTCACTGTGTTTCTGATTTCTGATTCTCTGCTGCACCAAAAATTACAACACCCCTTTTTCCCCCACATTGGTTTTGTCAAAACTTTTTTTCCTATAGAAAACATTGGGAAATCAACAGCATTTAACTAAAGTTTTCATTTCCAATTCGAAAGAGAAAATAACGGATAAAGGGATTGACATTGGAATGGTAAAGCTGAAAAAGTCATCCCTAAAAATCTGAATATTTTGGTCTTCTATTTGAAAATAAAGTGGTCGAGAAGGATGACAACTTTCACTTGAATTTCATCACACCAAATTGGGTTTTGGCCTGAAAACTTTGACAGAAAATTTTCACATCTTTTTTTTTTTTTTTTTTTTCAGTTTGTAAAAAAAAAAAAAACTCATTTTCTTAAATTTAAACAGAAATGAGAATTTTCAACCATCAGAAGGAAAATCTTCTGCTAGAGAGCATTTTTTTAAAAAAAAAATTGTATGTGGCGCGAATTTAAGTTAATTGAATTTGTAGGTTTGAAATATTGAATGGTCAAATTTAAGGAAAAGGGAGAAATTTCCATAATTTCAAATTCAAGAATAAGATATTTTTCCCTAGATGAATTAATTAGATTGAGATCCAAACCCAATAGTCAGATTCAACGTGAAAGAATCAACATATTTAATATGTTAAGTCCGATTTCATTTTTTTTTTTTAAAAATAAAGTTTTACCTTTTTCCTAAGTAACAACATAAAATATTTTTTAATATCAAATTCTTTTCTAATAAAAACTTTTAAAACACGTCCGAAAAAGTCAAAATTCCCTAGTAATAGTAACTGCAATCTAAAATGAATTTCAAGATAATTAAGAAAAGAACTTTTGAAACTATACTCTCTACTCTGTTTCTACGCTGACCGTATAGTTTATTTTGTGATGTGAAATTTGCCAAGAATGACATTAACTATTAAAATGTGAGTTGTGGTAGAATGATAATATATTAATACTTAAATAAAAATCTGAATTCAGAAAAAAATTGTTGCAAACGTCAGCCTCATAACTGGGTCCTACACCGTGGTAAGGCTTAACCTCCCTTAATACTACAACAACATACCCAATTAAATTCCACGAGTTTAAAAAAAATAGATTATAAGTGGCTTTTACCACAAACAAATCAAAGTAGTAATAACAGCAAAATAATACGGAGCAGATATACAAAAAAACTGTGACAATAGCAATCAAATACGATCAGATAAACAGATTAAACCACAAATTTTTGATACCTTAATGTAACTATCAAACGTCGAAAAAAAATAAAAAAACTTTAACGGCTAAGACATATGAATACTTATATGAGAACAAGCACAGAAAAGTCTCTTTCAAGAGATTATAAGAAAAACAGAGTAAAAAATTACATATAAGATTTAGAAATACACGAATATTCTCTATAATTTTTTAATTCTTGATTATTGAAACACAGTTCAATTATTTGTTTTATGCACTTGAATCTTGGCTCAAGATTTTAAAATAAATAGTAATATATATATTTTTTAAAATCATTAAATACTTACCTGTATCCGTGATCTCACTTTCCGGCGATCCATTTGAATCATCTCTAACTGAATCTACATCCACCACCTCACTGCCTGCATTTTCCGACTCATCGTGACAATTGATCTTCTCATTAAACGATTCCTTCACTACTTCGCTCTGTTTCACGTCGGCGACCTCGACTCTATCACTCACTTTTCTAGCAGCGAGTTTACGGAGTTCAAGCGTTACATCAGCAATCGAATAATACTTTTGCATCTGAAGAATCGGGATCCAATTCAGTCTCCGTCGATGTATAGCGGAGAAAACCGGTTCATACTCCGATCGGTCGCCTTCCAGCTGAGTGATATGATTACAAAGCGCATCAATAATCGCATTTGCAGCGGCGAATTCACCTCTGAACCACGCTATAATTGCATCCTTAGCGAATGTTTCCGACGTCATTGGAGGTTGTTGGATTACCGGAGCACCGGCAGTAGGGATAACCATAGAATTACCAAATGAAACTCGATCGGAATTCGCAACAACGCCGGCTGCCGGCGGCATCTTGAAACAGGCAGAGTTGAATTTTATGAGGTGAGTGAAAGTTTCCAGTATTTTTGGGGGGCAGCTGAAAATTTGTTCTGTTGAATAGTCTAAAATTGTTGCAACAGTAATGTATTTAGAGAGAGATTTTGGGGTTTGGAGGAGGGATTTGGTGGGTATTTAGAAGGCTTCTTTGGAGGCTTTTACAAAGAGATTTTGGGGTGGGAAGTCCGTGGGGGGTAAGTGGGCCATGTAGCACCCTGGCAAATTGTCAAATTTGAGTTTTTTAATTGCTAGTTTTTTTTTTTTATCGCAATAAGCGGGGTTAAGAGAGAATAATGTGTACGTAGTCTTATACGTTATACCTATCTTCTAAAGATAGGGAAATTATTTTCAATAGATTCTAGAGTAAAACGTATTTATGTCGCTTCAATTCGTTTGTATAGTTTTGACTTGATACATAGTTTAAGAAAATAAAAAGAATTTATGATTCTTATGGTTTTAAAGAAAAGATACGTTCTATCAAATTGTGAATTAATCTTGAAGTTTTAAACATGTAAAGTAAAAAGCTAGAATTAAAGAGTTATTAAAAAAGAAATATTTTTTTGAGAATGGATTAAATAGGAAAGCAAGACGAATAAATTGAAATGAATAGAATAACAAAAATGAGTATGAAAAGGAACATATAGTACTGAAACAATCATGTTGAATATAATGAAAGAGAATAGTAACAACAATACATAATGTTGCAATTGAAGCTAGAAAACAAGAAGTAATAATAAAATCGAAGGACAAAATGAGACATTCTCAACGCAATTAACATGGCTGTACAAAATATAAGTTGTTTAGTAATTTAAATGCATAGCAAAATGGTTGATTTTATTAATCCAACTTAATGGAAAATATCATAAATAATATTTCATGATGTTAATTGACTATAATAACGTTATAATATGAAAAATCATACTCAAATTACCTCACAAATAATTTAAAAAACTACATGCGTTATTATTACTAGTTGAATTTGGCATTTTGAGATAAATTGCCAGAGTTACTCCAGTTATCTGTACTAATTAATGATATAATCCTTCTACATGCATAATTAGGTCATTTAAGAAGTAAATACAAGCAAATCTCTTTTAATAAATACTACTGATCATTAATATTGATGTCTCCATTTGATGTTTATATTAAACCATTAATATATGACGGACGCTTTTACGTATACTCACATCATTAACGTAATTAATATATATTATTTTATTTCTAATAACTCAATTTATTTAGTTTCTAAACTTTTACCTTGTCGATGAAATTCGGTAAGCCATTTTACATGGGATGGGGTCTCCCATTAGAACTTTTCTTCCTTACCTGTCGGCTCTCAAATTTTTTTTATAAAAAAAACTAATAATAAAGTCACGAGTTATATGAATGGTAAAACTTACCTACAATTTAATTATGTGAATTCAAATAAATGTGGAAGAGCGGTGAAAGAGCAACAATAATAACAACTATTTATTTATTCATTAATTAATTAATTAATTAGATAAAAATCATTTACATGTTAATTTTATTTTGAAAAAGAGTAAGAAATAATAATATAATATAGCATATATACAAGTTACGGACGTTCAATAACAAAACAAACGAGTCAAACTAATCTTTTTTAGAATAAATATAATTTTCCAGTGTCAAAAAATAGCAATCAATATTAAAATATTTATTTTCACAATTTAAAATGAAAGAGAGTTAAAAAATTTAGAAGTATATACTTTATGTGGATTACACAAAAAGCTAGTAATTATTAAAAATTTGAGGTAGATTATATAATAAATTCTTGAAAGATTATGTATTTATACCTTAAATAAATTTTAAATTAATGTAGAAAACATTTCATTAATGAATTATTAATTGACACAAACAATTACACTGTTTAGCTAAATTAAAATTTTATTTTATATATAAATATTATATTTTGATTCTCCATAATTATAAAAAAATTGATTCTCCTTATTATAATTTTTTTTATGTGTGACTACATTTTTATATTTTGACACTTTTTAATAAATTTTTGACTTCGTCACTGTCACTGCGCACACAGACTACATGCATGCATAATACACGTAATATTAAATTAACATAAGTTAAAAGGATAAAATAATATTTAAACTTTAAGTAAAATACCTTAACACTCTGTTTGGATCATTGTTACCCATTGTATTGTATTGTATCGTTACTATACCTACAATGTTTGTTTTGATTGTTACTTAAAATGTATTGTATTGTATTGTTAAATTCCGTTGTTACGTAACAATGAAAACTCCCATTTTATGGAACAACCAATTTGGTGTGTTTCCACTGTTATTTAATTTCTTTTTCCAATTAAATCTTTACATAATATTTCGTAATACTCCCTCTGTCCCAATTTATATGACTCACTTTCCTTTTTAGTCAGTCCCAAAAAGAATGACACATTTCTATTTTAAGTAACAATTTGCCTATGAAATGTCTTTTTTACCCTTAATGAAATGATTTACAACCACACAAATTTCTATCATTCATTTTGGGACCACAAGTTTTAAAAGTCTTTCCATTTTTCTTAAAAGTTTGTGCCAAATCAAAGTACATCACATAAAATGGGACGGAGGGAGTACTATTTTACCATTTACCTTATATTATTTAATTCTAGTCAAACCTCCTACCCTAGAATAATTAAGGATAGTTTAGTAAATTTATAAATTACAATACAATACGATACAGTCAAACCAAACAATAAAAATGTTATTAAACAACAACAAACAATACAGTCTAGCCAAACATTGTATCAACCATACAATACAGTACAATAGAGTACAATACAATACAATACATTATGAAATAATGGGTAATGATGATCCAAACAGAGTGTAAGTGAAAAGGATAAAATGTCATACAATGTAAAAATGTTTACATAGTTGAAGTCATGAGAAAAATTATCAAGGAAAGCAAACATGACATAAGAATTACGTCTACTGTTAATATTTGCAGTAAAATTGGGATATAAATATTTTTCACTCTTATTAATTTTAAAATAAGTTTTAATTAGTCAAATTACCACAACTTTCATTTTGTATTCTAAAAAAAATGGACAATTAATATCAGTTAACTTAAAATTACATTCATTTAGATTCAATCATAAATGAACCACAATAAATATTTACTTGCATCGAGTAAGCATTAGTAATATTAGTTAAATTAACGTTCGAGAGATGTTACTAGTCAAATCTTTGTAAGACTGAGGACCTTAATAATAAATCTAAATCCTTAAAAAATGATCATGAACTAGAAGAATTTTACACCAAACTGACATAATTTATTGTAATTTGAGTGATTTAACAAAATAAATGTATATTTTATTAGTTATGATTTAATAATCATTATGTATATTTGTGTACATATGATGTGCATTCATCAGTTAATATAAACATATAATACGAATAATTATTTACCACGAAGTATGAACCACTATCATGTTACATGTCAGATGAGATAATTACATATTTTAATAATATATAATAAAATAGATATATAAGAGGTTAATTTTAATATTACAAAATGACGTAATAATATTTATTTCATATATTTGATTTATAATAGGGAGTCAGGTTCACTCGTGCGTGGAAATATTAATTTGGAAAAATATTGTACCACAATCGTAATTTTGTATTTTTAACTTGGAAATGATTGTAGATGACGAACATATTAGTATTTGTTGTATTTCTATTTTTATCCAAAGTAGTTAGAAATATGATATTTGATTGTCTTTTATTATAACAAATATGCATGCGTAGAATTCAATCATAAATAATGAAGTTTGTCATACTCTAAACATGGATACGCTAGGTGGATTGATATATATCGAGTACTATCTTAATTTTGATACTATAATTTAACTAGCAAATTAATTCTATTTGAATATACATACAAAACATATATGCAATTGATATGGAACTTGAATTTCAACTAACATGAGAAAATACTTAATTTATACATATTGAAGTCGATAAGCCTGAAAATATAACTTAAAACGTATATACTAATCTATAAAACCTCTATTATATCATATAACAGAAAACATATCGGGATCAAGTCTCGATGTACCCAAAATATCTATGTACATAGAATGAACCTGCTAAGATCATGACTCATGAGTGCTAATTCACCTCACCCAAGATCTGAAGCATGACAAACTTTGAATCAAGAACAACAATAAATAATATTTATCCATACCAATTAGTGATCAATTCTAATAATTTTGCGATGACTTCTTTATTTTCGATATTTTTTTGGATAAAATACTCGGACCTTAGATATATTTATAGAAAAACAAAAATAAATGGCGCACAAATTAAAGAAGTGATGTAACACATTTGGTCATTTGTTAATTCGGAGGCGGGCCAGGATAAAAAGTTTGGGGGTTCTAAATTTTCTTTAGAACCGTCAATCAATTTTGTTAGGGTTTCACAAATTAATATATACATATATATTTAATTAATTTTCTAGTACAGATACAAAATCTACGAAAAAGCTATTAGATTCGTCTGAACCAATGAACCCCACCTAACTCCGTTTCTGTTTGTTATATATACTAGAAAGTCGTTGGGTGAGCGTGGGCATATATATATATATGGGACCAAAAAAGTGGAGCGCTATTGTTGGTTAGCAGACGGCAACAGGAAAAAAGGCTATAATAGTCCCCGCTGCTAAGCTGAGTGCGGGGAGCAGTTAGCTACGGATATTAAAGCTCATATTTGAGCTAAGATAATGTTTACACCCAAAAATTTTAAATTCTAAATTTTCATTGACTACCGAAAAAAGAGAGGCTATAATAGGCCCCGCCGCGAAGGTGAGTGCGGGGAGCAGTTAGCTACAGAACAGTAAGGGAGGCACGAAAAATGGCTACTATTTAAATAAATTGAGACCACCGAAGAAGCGCATTACGCACATGCAAACGATTCCTTATTCAACTGAAATATGAACTAGAATCATCATCTATTTACTATCTTCAACAAACAACAAAATACAAATTTTTATATAGTATAATAATAGATGAAAAGAAAAAAAAAAGAACACTATCATCATTGTATAAAAGAATATAGAAAGTCTAAGATAAAAAGGCATCACAAAAAAAGAGTTACTCTCTCAC